CTAGGTTGGCTTTCTCAGTGCAATTTGCTGTTGATAAACTGCTTTGAACAAAAATTTTCTGTTCAAACATTGAAAATAATATTTATTAAAAACTTTGACTGTTTGTTTGTGTGTGGGCTAATTGTATGACAAACTTTTCATGACTAACTTTTGGCAAAATTATGACACATATTGTGAATTTAATTCCCACACAAGCAAGTCATAAATTTCATCATTAAGTTCAGTTTTTATCATAAGTTTTCAATGATTCTATGAATCGTTGTCACTTTATATTGTGTATCATAAATAGAAACAGTTTAACGTATGCAGTTAGTCTATAGCTGTGTTTGCAAACCATTCAAAGCTCAACTAATGAAATCAATCGATCAATCAAAGAGAATTTGCAAATCAATCATGAATACATTTAGAGGAAGAATTAAAACTTTTGTTTAAATTTGTCTATTCGCATTATTGCTATTTTATAAAAGAAATAAAAGATGTTTTTTCATGTTTGCACTGGCTTATGCAAACCTCAGAGACATTTGTGAGAACTCCCAAGCATGTGCAACCCTTGATGTTTGGTCTTGTGCTTGCAATGATGTGGTCTTAATTTCTTGCAAGATCTCTTTAGTTTGCATTCACTTGTGGAAAACAGTAAACATCTTTTATTTACTTCTTACATGAAGTAAACCATTCTTACTAAGATATCTCAATAACACTCATCATTTATTCAAGGCCGCACAACAACCAGTGAAGACAAAAGCTCCAACAAAACAAAAAGGTGGAAGAAGTACTGGTCGTGTTGGTGGAAAACGTTGAATGTAAATTATCACACATTTCACTATAATAAATGGTCATGGTTTAATGGTATTTGCATTTTTTTAGTTTTATGTTTTAATTCATGCTTCATTGTTCAATGTTGTGTAATCTGGTTGTGAATTAAGGATGAAAATTTGAATCACAATTTCAGATGTGAAACATAACCTCCCTCTATCCTCGTAATCCCCACCTAAACCTTCCCCTACCTCCTATCTGCTGAACAAATCAAACTGATCAAATCTTCACTTGTATCATACAAGGCTGGTACCACTAAAACTAAACATTTAACTTGTAGAATGATCAAATCTTCACTTGTTTCATACAAGGTTGGTACCACTAAAACTAAACATTTAACTTGTAGAATGATCAAATCTTCACTTGTTTCATACAAGGTTGGTACCACTAAAACTAAACATTTAACTTGTAGAATGATCAAATCTTCACTTGTTTCATACAAGGCTGGTACCACTAAAACTAAACATTTAACTTGTAGAATGATCAAATCTTCACTTGTTTCATACAAGGCTGGTACCACTAAAACTAAATATTTAACTTGTAGAATGATCAAATCTTCACTTGTTTCATACAAGGCTGGTACCACTAAAACTAAACATTTAACTTGTAGAATGATCAAATCTTCACTTGTTTCATACAAGGCTGGTACCACTAAAACTAAATATTTAACTTGTAGAATGATCAAATCTTCACTTGTTTCATACAAGGCTGGTACCACTAAAACTAAACATTTAACTTGTAGACTGATCAAATCTTCACTTGTTTCATACAAGGCTGGTACCATTGAAACTAAACATTTAACTTGTAGACTGATCAAATCTTCACTTGTTTCATACAAGGCTGCCACCATTAAAACGAAACATTTAACTTGTAGACTTATCAAATCTTCACTTGTTTCATACAAGGCTGGTACCATTGAAACTAAACATTTAACTTGTAGACTGATCAAATCTTCACTTGTTTCATACAAGGCTGCCACCATTAAAACGAAACATTTAACTTGTAGACTTATCAAATCTTCACTTGTTTCATACAAGGCTGCTACCATTAAAACTAAACATTTAACTTGTAGAATGTATATTTTGGTTGACAAATGTTGCGTGAAAGTATGAAAATATATTGAAACTCACCCTTTGTATCTACAGGGTGCATGCAAAATGCAACCCATTGAAATCAGCAGACGTTTAACTTTTGCATGATTCAGCCGTAATCAACCTCCAATGAGACTTAAACGTAATTGTAAATAACACGAAATGATTTAATGATTGGCATTTTCAATGTGCTGTAGTTACAATTCATACGATCCAATGATAGGCATTTTACGCGTTTTCTCTTTACGCGTTTTTCCGTTTAGTCAACATGCAAACGACTGCAATTTAGCACAATAAATACTTAGTAGCGAGAGACTTGCCGAGCGAAAATCGAATTCGTGCAATAAAAATTAATGCCCAACATAAAGTTTTAATTAGAGCCATAGAAATAGACCAAAAACTACAATTTTTAAAAAATTTTTCTGCACCCCAGAAAGTAAAATCTTTGTAATTCAATAGTTCGTGGTAAATTTGTAATATCATCATAAACGTGAGCACGTTATTGTTTGCAACTCTCCATAGTCTGAAGGGTTCATTCCAAGTGTAAAGTATAATGAAGTAAGTTAACTGACTGTAATATTCTAATTTCGTCGTGGATATGCAATTTGAGAGAGAGTGTATAGACAGTATAGAAATACAAAGATCTGAGTCTTTTGACTGATTTTACGCAATTCATCTTATTCGCATTGAAAGCAAAGAATAGAACGTTGTATAATAAAGTTAGCATAATTAATGTATGTATAAATAGTGATTATAATTAAGGTATGTATAATGATTAGTTAATAGATGGAAGCTCGTGTACATAAGAGAGCCTTTTTCAAGTAAAAACGCTTTTTTAGTCATCCTGGACTGAATAATATATTACACCTTGGAAGCTCACTAAACATATTTTCTAAAGTTCTTTTATGTCGTGCATATTTTATATCGTTAGAACAGCGTCCATGCAAGACTTTCCACAAGGCTATTTTAGCCACAAGTATCACAGGCTTACATTTTAGCTACAAGTATTTCCGTTATACACCCGTTTTCATCTGTGTAATTCAACTTTAAACAATTCAAGTATTCCCGCAGTAATCGATCTGAGAAATTCCTTTCCTCTGGTAACAAACAACGGAGTTTCATAAGCTGACCATCGTATTTCATTAATGATACTCCTTCATTATTTTCTGCCATCACAATTTCTGTAAAGTGTCCATGGTGATAGGCAATCAAAAGAGGAGTTTTGATACAATCCACGGAGTCTGACAACAGTGGTAAGTATATGCCATCAAGGTTTACACCAACAATTTGGTCATCATAGTCACCACGAAAAAAATTGGCACATATTACCAGAATTGGTCTTCGAAGAACATTAGCTAAGGCAAATATATGAATCTCATCAAGAGAGTAAAAACTTGGTGTTTTTAGAAGAGTGACTGTTTTCCAGTCTTTGTTCCATTGCTCTACACCAAAATCCATTGGGATACCAGCATTTTGATCGTCCAACTGCCTTTCGACTTCCAACTGCCAGCGTTGTTGATAAGTGCCTAAAATGAAGTTTAAATGAATAAGGACTTGTTTGTATGGAGTCGAGTTATCTGGCTAGCCGAGAAACTCCCTTAATTGGGTACGGTACCGCTTGTATATTTGTTAACATAATTTTGCGTATGATACGCGTATCGTTCTCGTATCATACGCGTATCGTTCTAGTATCATACGCGTATCGTTCTCGTATCATACGCGTATCGTTCTCGTATCATACGCGTATCGTTCTCGTATCATACGCGTATCATTCTCGTATCATACGCGTATCGTTCTCGTATCATACGCGTATCATTCTCGTATCATACGCGTATCGTTCTCGTATCATACGCGTATCATTCTCGTATCATACGCGTATCGTTCTCGTATCATACGCGTATCATTCTCGTATCATACGCGTATCGTTCTCGTATCATACGCGTATCGTTCTCGTATCATACGCGTATCATTCTCGTATCATACGCGTATCGTTCTCGTATCATACGCGTATCGTTCTCGTATCATACGTGTATCGTTCTCGTATTATACGCGTATCATTCTCGTATCATACGCGTATCGTTCTCGTATTATACGCGTATCGTTCTCGTATCATACGTGTATCGTTCTCGTATCATACGCGTATCGTTCTCGTATCATACGCGTATCGTTCTCGTATCATACGCGTATCGTTCTCGTATCATACGTGTATCGTTCTCGTATCATACGTTTATTACAATTCACGTATTAATCAAAAAAGTTTTCTGTAATAATTTACACAAGTTAGACAAAAGTTATTTTCCAACACATTAGCAAGTTGTGTGTACTAAAGCAGAGACAAATATCTTACTTAAAGTGCTTATCTCACAATTTTCTGATTGATGGCTTCGTTTATGAGATAAATGCGTTTCTTTTCTCAAAATCGGCAATAATGGAGAAAATTGCTGCGCGTTCAATTTGCTTGATGAGAGAAGTATGTGACGTAACATAAGGACAGGAAGTTTTTCTGAAGTGTGACTTTTGCTATAATTTCTACTTTATTTACAACGGCTCTGCATCAAAATGCCTGGTAGATGTGCAGTTTTCGGCTGTTCAAACCGAGCAAATTCTGCGGAAGGAATTTCTCTTCACCGTATACCATTTTATGGTGATGAGCGTCCTGAAGCGAAGCGAAGACGTTAAATCTGTGTAAATTTTGTTGCAAGAAAACGCGCTCGATGGACACCGACTAAGTATTCGGCTGTTTATTATTGTAATGGCAAAGTAATTTGGGCAAAATTCAAATCTTTCCTGAGTCACATAGTAGACAAGCACACCAATTTGGATAATCCACTGTTTTCAAGTTGTTTTCATGGCCCTGATATTAAACCAAGGGAATATTTGTTAGAAGGTTTGTGAAGGCATTATTTAAAGATAACTTCCCTAACAGTTTATCATCATTCTTTGTTGTAATGTTTAAGTTTCAGTTGCTCATGAAAATCTTTGTGCTAAATGGTTACACCCACAGCTGATGAAGTCAATTCACCAGGCTTCACTAGTTGCTCAAACAAGTTGTTTGGAAGGATTCCTTTCTGTCCTGAATCATTTTGCTCCAAAAATGACTCATTGTTCAATGTTGGAATGTATTGCAGGTGGGCGAAAATTTCCAATATGACAATGTTAGTTGTTTTGCAACTTCCACAAGTCTTTATTGTTTAAGACACATTTTGGCATCCATCCACTTCAACAACAACTTAAGGCGTGATGTAAAGATGAAGAATGATGGCACTTTCCAAATAAATGTGGTGTATCCAAAGTTCAAAAATGGTGAAGGAACTGTAAGGGATGTCAGAGTTAAGCCCAAATTTGGTAAGTTGTTGCTAAATGTGTTGCTTTGCATCATTTCATAGTATTGAATACGACAATAATTTCTTTTTAGAGTATGTGGATGAATTATTTGAGAGTGTGATGCTGTCAATAAAAGACAAAGATGCATTATCAAATTCACAAATCTTTTGAAAGAAATGTCCCCACCACCAATGAATATCATGTTGCAAAAGCAACCCAGATTTGAGGTGCTACTAAAACAGGTCCGTCGAAAATGCATTGTGGTCAATGATGTCCCCCCCTCAATTCCAGGTAATTAATAATGATTATACAACATGTTGTAGCTAAACATGGTTTGAAAATCATTTTAAATAATAAAAATGTTTTTGTTTCATGCCAGCAGCTACCAGTGTGCCATTCAGCTCTCAAAAGTGGCAGTTTCAAAAGAAAAAAGTCAGCCAAAATGTTTGACATGCAAGAAGCCAATGAAAGGTCACAAACATGTGGCAGATTGCCCAAAAAATAGGAAAACTTAATTTTCACATCACTCATTTGTTTCATTTTCTTCATACCCTCTAAATTCCAACTTTTTATCATTAAATTTTGATCTTATTGCATGGTATGCACATGCTGGTAATGGTCTTCTTTCTTCTCCTAAGCATCCATAAATCATAGATGTGAATTCTCTGTATGTAACACATCGTAAAAACCTGAATATAAAGCCAAATCGTTACTAATGTGTCATAACACTAAAATATACTTAAATACTGGGAAATAACATAATATGCTATCATACATGTTTTCAGATCCTGTTTCTCTGTATCGTCTTTGTTCTCTGGTTTTATATTTCCTAGCAGCCATTTTTAGCAACCACTTTTCCAAACAAACTGATCTGAAACCTGGGTGTAGAGTGACACAACATGGAATAGTTGACAGATCTGCCAGAACCGACTGGTGTGTAAACTTTCAGCTACAGACTTGAGTTCTTGGCAGCACCAGGCCTCTAGAGGATTATGAAGAAGCGTAACTTGACAAAAACCACACTTGCACCTGATCAATAAAGAAAATCACATTAAAAAATTGTAATCGAGCATCTTTTAACAATTTTTTACCCAAAAGTAAATAAAAAAGCGATGGTAATCTGGAATAGAAAATTGCAAGTTTATGTCTATATTTCATAACTTGAAACCTGAATTGAAATACATTTCATAAGTTGAATTGAAATTAGAAATTTTATTACTCACCAAGAACTCAACTGAACTGTGTTATCAAGTCTTTTTCGTAGCATTTCAAGTTGCTTTTTATGTTCATTTGACTTTTCCACGTAGTCTTCATACCATGCTCGTTCGGCCATTGGTTCATCAGCGTAAAGATAGGACTCGGACTCGCCGTGATTTTCATCTATTATATTATATTCCTGGTCATTAATGTTCCTTGTTTCATCTTCGATAACATAACCGGGAATATAATCATACTCCGAATCATATTGCGAACTATGAGAGCTTTCCGAATCAGAATTCAACTCCGCCATCTATTTGTTGATAACAAGCGCTTGACTTGTTCCTTAAGTTACGTCACAGAGACTTGATCCAGGCCCTATGCCAATTATCAACTTTTACTGTCAAATTTCGTATTTGATCAATAATAATTCAAAAACAATGCAGCGCATGAAAAAATTCTAATATAAGTTTTAGATTACTTTTGAAGAAGCAATATGAAAATTCAAAAAAAAAATTGTGAGATAAGCACTTTAAGCTGTAAAACTTATGCAATGTCAGTTCACGAAACTGTATGTACTAGCAATTTTCATTTTGGAGCCCATCATACGCGTGTTCCTATCACACACCCGATGATCTTACCTGTCACATCTTCTGTAAGAATTTGACAGATTGATGTTTTCAGACAACCACAAATTATTCCCATAGTTCTTTCCTCTTCTCCAGCGTTGTTGTCTGTGCCGAGGAGGTGTGTTTATGTGGTCTGCGCAACAAAATGTGCTATTAGTGTGCGTGAGTTACGTGGGCGATGACCTTTTGGTATGCGATTTGGTATAGTAAGTGGGTCACTACTAACTGAAGTTGTCTAACAAATGTCACATATGTTTCTACACATAAGAACATTTGTGACAGCTAGACAACTTTAATGGACGCTTAAAAGTACAAAGGTAGTACACTTTTGACAAACTTACGTCTGTGATTTTTTGTTTATTTTCGTTGTACAGGAGAACAAAATTGTCTTAAAAAAAGGTATGCTAAGTTTAAGGGAATCACTACTAACTGAAGTTACTTCTCTTGTACCGTAAAATTCAGGAAACCGGCGTAGTCTCTCATTGTTTAATTTACGAAAATGCAATAGCACCCTTGATTATGGAGCATTATCATATATTGAGTATTTGTAATCGCTTTTAACATGATATTCGAAGAATAAATTATCAATTAAGTGCAGAAATTTGATAAATGAGAAAAGACGTGGTTATTATGAGGCTATAGCCACACGTACGAAGTGCATATCTACATATATAAGTAAGCGAATATATTACTTTATTACTAATATCAAGACAGTTCTTTAGATATGAGGATTTAAGCCTTATAGAATGACAATATTTCTTGTTCATTTAAACAAAATTTGTTGAAAACCGTTCACACCAACTGTCTATTCTAAGAAAAGCATTTCTTTCTTCTTTAAACATTTATGACAAAGACCCTGATCTTCTTCTGTACCAAAACATCCACAACCTTTAGTTACACATGGTATTAACTTTGATGGTCGCCTTTATACTGGTGACGAAGGTGCTGAAACACTTTGTCTCTCAACAATTGTCTAAAATATAAACGACTCTTCTATACATGAGGTTGCAAATGTGATAAAAGATTTTTGGCGAAAATGAGTACAATTTATTGATTTTTAGAGATTGTGTGAGAAATTTTTTTGTTAAGTTAATTCAACAACAAATATTTACCTGATAATAGTGGGGTTCATTTACATAATAAAACATGTGCAAGTCATGATTTGTATTCTTTTGCTGTTGTGCTATTTTCCATTTCCTTCTAGCTCTTTCTTCTTCAATCTTCTTATCAGACTCTAAGTCATACTCAAGTTGCAATGCCTTTGCATAACATTGTAAACACAAGTTATCATTCTCTGGGATGCCGAAGAATTGACAATCTTCAGTTAGACATCTTGTCTTGACTGCTTCCACATTCGATGTTGATTCTTGCATGATAGGGCTACCATAACTGACCCCTCTTAAAATTTTGAATGTAATTGGGTGAAACAAACAGAACATAGGCCTTCATAATCTCGGTTGGCAGTATAACCACAGCCAGGAGAAGTACAAATACGTGTGTTGTTTGATAAATATTTACCGAAATTTATTCCGTTAAATACGCTGGGTGATCGCAACATTGGCTACATGTGTCTTATCTTGGTGTTTGTGAAATATATTAACGTACATTGTGTTGGATTCAAAACGTTTCCGGTTCTGATGTCAGATGGGAGATGACGGACATTTGGCATCAAACTGTCGTCTGAATAAGATCAAATGAACTTCTCTGCCTAGTAACGCTTTCTATTCTGTAAGTAGTTAGAGGAATTTATCCCTTCTTTTTTATGCATTTGTTAGAATTATTTGTAATTATTTAGTTGAACCGTACGTAATAAAGTAATGCGCGTCTCGAAGTATTAGAAACTTGGCAGAGAATGGTTGAGCCCTTAGTCGAATTCTACAAGAAGTTCAAAAAATTTATCCTTATCAACTGATATATCGACGAGGCCCTGTTTTTAATTAACGATCTTTCGAATGGCTAAATCTAACAACGAAGCGAAGAGCGTAATGAGTAATGAACAAAGAAAGCAAACCATCCCAGCTCTTACCAGGGAAGAAGAACCTTCAACTCTCGAAACATCTGAACAACTACGAAGAAAACGATCTGCTGCAAAAGGCGCAGTTACAAAAAATATGAAGGAGTTAACCAAATCAAATAGAAGTTTCCAAACTTGAGCGAAGCAAATATTAAAGCACAAGAATTCAACGAAGTCGTAAATAGATTTTACAACGCCAACGAGCGTCATCATTCAACAATAGAAGATGATTATGATCACCGAGACTCAAACGAATACCGTCAAATTGAACAACAAAGAATTGAAAATTTTCAAAGGACCTTAAACGAATAACTGCGAGAGTTTACAAAACAACCATCAATGTCAGAAGTCCAGATAAAGCCAAGTGACTCCGTTAGTAACGTCGGAGAGAAGAGCCGTGTTAGATCACATAGTTAAATTACAAGTTTATATAGATCCAAAGCCGGGTGAAATACCTTAAGTGGAAAACCAATGATGGCTGCAAAGAAAGCAGCTTCGATAGTCAAAGCAACTGCTTTGGAGGAACATCAATCTTTAGACGAACAAGAGCTTTACTTAAAATATTAAGAGTTGATTCACCGATAACGACAGGAAGAAGAAAAAAATGGGCCTCAAACAAAGGAGACACCAACTACAGCTGAAAGCTGAAATAGCGAAAGTTGAAGCAGAAGAAGTGGCTTACAGTGTAGCTGGAACTTATGGAGCTTTTGCCCGATTGTCCTCACGAGTAGACCAAACAGATTCTCATGAAATAGGGGAGAAGTGAGGCAGAAATAGGGCAGGAGGATGCTAACAGTAAACGTTAAATACAATAAAGTTCCATGTTGGCAAACAAACGGTGACAACCACACTTAACCAATACTGCCAACTTTTCAACCACTCCCTCAAGATGCTGGCGTAAATGCACCAACACGAGATGAAACGCATAAAGGTCTCATGTTTCGCAGGAACAACCAAAATCGGTCGTAACGCGGAAGTCTTCACGAATTAGACGCATCAAAGATTGGAAGTTTGGATGATTCACAAGTAGCAAAAAATTTCTTGCACGACATGTTGGATATGCAAAATGAACAGTAGCAGCAGAGTCAACTCATACTAAAAATGCAACAGGGACAATGATTTACAGGAACTGCTTGGTGAACACCAACAATAGGCTCTTTCAATGTCACTACCTAACGCTCAAGTACCAACATTTGTGGAAATCCTGTTGAATATTGTCATTTTGTGCGATCGTTTGAAAATCTTATTGAAGCGAAAACAACTAGCAGTAATACACGTTTGTATTATTTAGTTCAATACACATCTGGTGATGTTCAGGAGCTTATGCGAAGTTGCTTGTCAATGGTCCACAAAGAAGGATATCTGGTCGTAAGGAAACTTTTGAAGGAGTATTATGGTCCCCGAAGAAAGATATCTGGTCGCAAGGAAACTTTTGAAGGAGCACTATGGTCAAAATTATAGAATAGCTACGGCCTACTTACAACGAATAATGGAGGTACCTATAATCAGAGGTGAAGATGGCGAAGCACTCCGAAGATTCTCTGTATTGCTTATCAGCTGCAAAAACACACTTAAAGAAATATGTTACCTCAAAAAACTTGACAATTTGGTTAGTTTGCAAAATATTATCAGTAATTTGCCTTATTCTATGAGACAAAAATAGTGTGACATAGCAGACGATATAACAAGTAATAAAAAATGAGAGGTAACCTTCGAAGACATCTTAAAACTTGTCGAGATGAAAGCGAGAGCATTAAAACATCCTATTTTCGGCAAGATTAATAATGATTCAAAAATTAGAATTGCTCAAGATCCTAAAGGTCCTCGAGGTAAGCATGCCTTCGGAACAATTGGAAAGGACCCTGGAAACGATCAACAATCAAATATAGTTGAACTCGAAACTGGAGCTGAAAATTTTCTTAGATGTCCAATGT